GGGGGGGGGGGAGGATGGGGCTGAAAAAGGGGGAAGGAGAGGGAGGAGGAGGGGAGAGAGGGAGACAGGAAGAAGCCACAACCGCCCCCATTCACGAAGCGTGCAGGTCATTGAGCATCTTTTCCATCTGCAGCAGAGCATCATCAACCGAGGGGGGAGCCGCGGACATGGCCGGGGCCTGGGCCTGGGCCGGAGCCGAAGCCGAAGCCGAGGCCGGGGCCGGGGCCGGGGCCGTCTCGGCTGGGGCCCCCTCGCCCGAGGCAGCCAGGCTGTCCAACAAAGTGGACAGAACATCGATGGAGGAGGCCGGGCTGTCGGCCGCCTCTTTGGGAGCCGCCTTCACGGCGTCGTCACCGGCCGCCATGGCAGCACCGCTGCCGCCCGTGTCACCAGTGGCCGCCAGCTGCGAGAGCGACGAGCAGGAGGAGGAGGCCGAGGAGAAGGAAGACTCGCTGAGCGACCGGGTGGAGGTCGTCAAGCCAGCCCGGTGGAAGGAAGATTCACCTACCTGAGAAATGGCGCGACTGATGGCCTCGATCCATCGGGCGCGGTCCTCGGCCGTGTCGGCGTAGCAGTGGTACACGCGCTTCGGGAGGATGATGTCAAAGTAGAAGGCACCAGCCGGGCCGTTGCCCTGGCTAGCGGGGACTTCCCGCACAGCGGAATACTGCTCAAGGTGGATGACTCCCGACGGGGAGGCAGACTGCGCCAAGCCACAGCCGCGGTGTGGAGGGGTTTCCGTCAGCAAAATGGGCAGCAAAAGGGCGGCAGGGGGGGGGGGGGGGGGGGGGGGGGGAAAAGGGGGGGGACACGCACGTCGAGCTTTTTGAAGTAATACACACTCTGGCGATAGAGGGCAAACCAACGCCGGCGCCAGAGCTTCCGGAGGTGAAAAGCCAGGGAGAAAGAAGCACCCAAGGATCCGTGTCAGTGGATGGGGAGCGGGCGGAGAGGGAGCACAGCCGCGGGCGCAAGAAGAGGACATGCCTACCTTGTACTTGTGAGTGCTTCCACCGGTCTTGTACAGCTGGGAGATGAGCGTCGATTCCTGTGCACGAGATCCGGGCAGAGCGGGGGAAGTGGCAACAGGTCAGTTGATGGGGAGGCTGGCAAAAGGGCGGACGGCCATCTGCTTGGGGCATGGGCAGCACACGTACAGCCAGAATCAGTGACATGGCCGGCGCCGCGGAGACCGAGTAGATGGAAGCCGAGTCGGAGGCCAGCAGGATCGACCCGGAGTCGGAATTGTCCGAGTGGTCGAAGCTGGAGCGCGAAGTCATGGCCGAGGCCGTGCGGGAGTGACTCCCGGGGCCGGCCGGCGATGAGGCCCCCATGCTCGCCAGGGATATCGACGAGGCCGAGGAAGGCAGCACCGCCGAGGCGGCGTCGTCCACCACCAGGGAGTCCTTGCGCGTGCGCTCGGAATAGGCCTGCATGGTTTTGCGGTCGGCCTCCGAGTGGATGAGCAGCGTCATCCAATCGATCTTATCCTGAGACGAGAGCGTCTGCAGGACAAAGACATTGGTGCCGGTGTCGATTTCGAAGCAATTGGTCTGCGGCGGCCCAGGAGAGGGAAGGGCGAAACGCAGCGGAAGGGTGAGCACAGGCGCAAGGCAGGAATAGGCAGGGGCCGGAAAGGGAAGCCGGAAGAGGGGGGGGGGGAGGGGGGGAGTGGCAAAATTCCGCGGGCAGAGCATCGGCAAGGTACCATCCCGTGCTTGGCATCGCCATCCAAGACACGATAGGAAGAGCTCAGATCGAAGAAGCCGACGGCCTTGGTGTCGGTGCCAGACCGATAGTACACCAGGAAGTTGCCATCAAACTGGAAGTAGCGCTTCTTCCATGACTGAGCCGTGGAGAAGGGGGCAAAGGAACAGCAAGCGGGAGGGGGAGGAGGGGGGGGGGAGGGGTGTAAGAGAGCGAAGGGGGGAATGCAGGCCAAAAGGCAGAGCCAGCCAGGAAATGCTCGGCATGGGGCCCCAGGTGACGCAGAGGGAGGGAGTGGGAATACCTTCTTGACGAGAGCGCGGATCATGGAGCTGGAGTTGGCGTCGCGGTGGCCTCCACCCTGCTTGACCATGACGCCGGACTTGAGGATGTTGGAGCGCTGGAGACAGAGTGCGAGTGAAGAGAGAGAGAGAGAGAGAGAGAGAGACAGAGGGGGGGGGGGGGAGGGAAAAGAAGTCAGTTGATTGATGGGGTGGAAAAAGGGAAAGGAGCAGGCGCGTGGCGTACATCAAAGGGAATAACAACATCGCCCTTCTCCTGGTAGACAGGCTGACTGACAGTGGAGAGTCGCCGTGCCATCTCGTTGTCGAGTCGAGGGGGGGAATGCGCGCACAGGGCGCCAGGCACGGGAGTTCAGAGGGCGAAGAGAGGGGGGGGGGGGAAGAAAACAGACGGGCCACGAGACTGGAGAAGGGAGGGGAGGGGGGGGGGGGAGGGGGAGAAAAGCAAATGTTCGTGGGCGGGCGGGCGGGAGATCAAAAGTGCCAGAGGAGCGATGTGGCGAGTGCCAGGTCGGCCGGCCTGGGGGAGGTGGCCTACGATCCCCTTGAACCCAGGGCCACCGACATCCGCCAGGAGAGCGGGAGGGTGGAGAGAGTGCCAGGGGGCCGGGGACGCTGGCCAGCCGCCGGAGGGGGGGACACCTCGGTACATCGGGGCGAAAGGGGGGCGCGGCGAGCATACCCCCTCCTGCGGGCCATTTGCAGACCGGCGAGAGCCCAACATTGCCCGACTCCCGGCGCATGAGGAGGGTGCTCGCCCGGCCCCTGCCCCACCCCCCCGCTGGAACTCCCCCGGGCGGCCAGGTCGTGGGGAAACGGGGGCAGATCGCACGCACCAAAGTGCAACATCACCCCGGGCGTCGGCCTTGGGGCGGCGGCGGGGCTCCGGGGTCCAGCGCGGGCCGGGACGCAACGAGATCCATGGACACAGCATGTCGGACGCGCTCGCCCGAGCCCCCCGCCCCGCCCCCCCCCCCCCTTCCCCGGTCACCCCTTTCATGTGCAGAGGCATCTGCACGCCCTGGTGCCTGGCGGGGCTGGGGCCGGTGGAATTCACCCCTGATCCGGGGAGCACCTCTCCCTGGCCCGGGACCTGTCTGGGGAGGGGTCCCTCTGTTCCCCACCCGGGTGTGTGTGTGTGTGTGTGTGTGTGTGTGTATGTCTTTCCGGTCGCACCCACGGGCTTTGGGGGGAGGACCTCCATCCGCCAGGCGATGGGCCCAAACCTGGCCCGCGGCGCCGGCGAGCCTGGCCGCCCTCCTACAGGCGGAGAATGTCCGGCCGGGTGTTTGTATTATTGTTTTTTTTTTTTTTTCGCGCCGCCTTCTGCCCGTAAACGCGCCTGCCATGGCGCGTGTAGAGGGAAAGAGACACTCTCTAGCTCCCTCTTCATCCCTCCCGCAGCCGCACCGCGCCCCTCACCGCCTTTGAGCGCCTGGAATCTAGCCCCGCCCCCGCCCCCGCCCCCCTGCCGGGTTCTCGCCGCGCTGCCGAAAATGAGGCCCGAGATCGCGACCAAGCCTCTCAAAAGCGGTCCATGGTATGTCAACCAGCACCCCCGGCTGGGGGGGTGGGGGGGAAGAAATAATAAATGCCGGGCACCGGCCGAGGGGCATATCAATCTCCCCCCCCGAGCCCCCTTGTTCGTCCACCCCAGCGCGGACTGTGCATGTAGCGCGTGAGGGCGGGCGGACAAGTTCGCAACAGGCAAGAAAAAAAGGGGAGGGAGCGGGACACACACACACGCACACGCACACACACACACACACACACACACACACACACACCGCAAGCAGCAGGTATTTCCGGTGAGATGGGGCCGGGGGAACCGGGAATTCGCCATGTACGGCGCCCGTATGGCGTCGGTCGCCGCATTCTTGCCGGCAGATGCCCCGAGGCGGACACCCTTCCCGTGAGCGTTCCGCACATGTGGGGAGGGCCACGGCCCAGAACACTCGTTCGGAGGTGAAGACCTGGCGCTGGCACAGATGAGCCCCGAACGCACGCCAGGTGTGCGGAGACCTCTTCGCATCCGGGGCGGCCGCTCCCCTCCCCCCCCCCGCCCCCACCCCCTGCCCCCGCCCTCAGGCCTCCGCCCAAGGTGGTGTGCCCCAACCTGGGATGGTTTACCGGGTGCGTGGGGACCTCCCCCGGAGTCTGGACCCTGCGCCAGGGGGAGGGGGGCCCAGGTACATGGCGGCCGGGCTGGGATGTGCGCCCGCCCGCAGGGAGGCGCGAGGGCGGGAGGAGGCAAGGCGCGTTGTCAGCCGAATTGACTGCCTCGCGCCCGATGGAAATGAATGGCCCTCTGGCATCTCAGCATGTTCCCGTCCATCTCCCCGCCCGTGTGTCTTGCTCCGGCTCCTTGTGGGCCGGCCGAAAACCCGGGAGCCCTGCCAGCCCGGGCGAAACCGCGGCCGCAACAGCCCTCGCCCGAAGGAAAACAACTCACACCAGGGCAAAAGACGCGTGTGTATCATGCTGGATCAGTGTCTGGCCTCCTGGCCACAGAAAAGGGGCATATCTGCAACGAGAGGGAGAGAGACAGAGAGAGAGAGAGAGAGAGGCAGAAGTGGAACAGGAGTGCAGGCACAGCCAAGGCACACTACTCCTCCTCGTCGTCCTCATCCTCCTCCTCATCCTCCTCCTCATCCTCCTCATAGTCCTCATCGTCCTCGTCATCTTCCGAAAGGTCCTCGTCGGAAGTGTCCGCCTCACTATCGGAGAAGTCCTGATCATCGGCACTCTCAGCCTGGTCCGGCCCGCCGTGTGCGGCCAGCTGGGCGAGGTCATCGCCGAAGTCCGCGAAGTCCGGCTGGCTCTCATAGAAGCCAGGCGGCTTGAAGCTCAACAGCAGCTCACGCCCATCAAAGGCCATGCGCAGGATCATGTTGGCTGCACGCGTGCGGCGGAAAAGGGTCAGCGCAAGAGCCAGGAGGGCGGCGGGAGCGAGAGAGCAAGAGACCGACACATGGGTACGGCCGGGAAGCGGACGCACCAGCACGGTAGGCATCGGGCCGCGAGGACTTGGCATTGATGTAGCCGCGCTTGTGGGCGTAGGCTGGGTTGTGTGTGGGGGGGGGGGGGGGGAGAGGGGGGACCCGGAGGAAGATCGGGCACATGAGCAGGGGAATCAGTACACGCCAGGCCCGTGGACACAGGAGAGAAAGGCACGGAGAGGGGCACGGAGCGAGCAAGCCAGAGGCCGAGAGGCGGAGAGGCAACCCCCCCATACACACACACACACACACACACGCACCTTCACACAGGTCCCAGGCGGTCCACTCAAAGGTAGTCGGCAGGAGAGAGCCCTCCTCCCTCTGGACGAAGGCTGGGTGATCCTTCTGCGACAGGCGCAGGATCTCCGGCAAGGGCAGACGCTCGGCCAGGAACTGCACCACCGAATAGGGCTCATTCACCTGGGCGATGTTGAAGACACCGGAGAGGATCTGGTGCGCGCGGCTGACCTTCGACGGGAACACCAGCCCCGGGCTGTCGCACAGGCGCACGGTCTTGGACAGGTGGATGGTTTGGAAATGCTACTCGCGAGCGGTCGACGGCGGCATGTGGACAACATGCGGCGGTTAGCTCCGAGCCGGGAGGCAGAGTAAACATGATGCTGCCACCCACCATGCCGAGGGGGCATATGCACGGGGAGGCCCGGCCGGCCGGCGCACCTTGGTGTGGCCCGGCGTCTTTGAGGCGCTGACCACCTTCTTGCCGCGGATGCCATTGACGATGGAGGACTTCCCCACATTCGGGTGCCCCACCAGGCCGATGGTGATCATATCACTCCGGGGATCGGCCCCGCTGTAAATTCCCTCCGTGACGGCCTCGGCCTCCTCATCCTCGGGGGTCGCATCCTCCGGCAGATCTTCCGCGTCCGAGGCGTCATCGGCGGCGTGCTCGCGGCTTGCCGCATGGCGCCCCTTCTTCCCGACCCGAGCCTTGGCCATCTCTATGGCCAGGAGGCAGAGAGGAGGGGAGAGGGGGGGGGAGAGAAAGACAGGACACGGGGACAGGCAAGAGGTGAGGACATAATGCACAAAGCGGCAAGAGAGAGAGAGAGGCCGAGGAGGTGGGCCCCAGGCAACTGGGAGATGATGCCTAAAAGAAGGAACATGCAAATTGATGAACAGTGCCGGGCAATGCCGCGCATGGAGACTTGAAGAGCGGGGGGAGGAAAAACAAAAAAAAACACGCCCTCACGCACTCCCGGTAAGGCCGGCCGGCATCTCATCATCTTCGGAATCGTCCTCGTCGGCGCGGTGACGATCATACTTGGCAATCAGCTGGTCCCAGTCGACCAGGACTCCGCGCTTGAGGAGCTTCACATCGCGGCAGGCGCGGAATAGGTCCCCCACGCCGGCCGCCGGGCGGAAGGCATTCTGCGTCCGGCGTGCCTGACCAGATCCCATGGACGCGGCGTCCTTCAGCTCCGGGTAGCAGGTGAAAGTCGACACATGGACAAGCGGGAAGCGCTGCTTGAAGTACGCCACCCAGGCATCGGTCACCTCGGGGGGAACGAGGTCCGTCTGGCAGGGGCGGGCCAAAGGAAACCCCCAGGGACCCTGCGTCAGAAAGGGCACAGCAGGAGACCGCGTGATGTGGGAGGCAAGAGAAAGAAAGAAAGGAGGAAAGGAAAGGAAGAAAGGAGGAAAGGAAAGGAAGAAAGGAGGAAAGGAAAGGAGGAAAGGAAAGGAGGAAAGGAAAGGAGGAAAGGAAAGGAGCAAAAGAAAGAAGGAAAAGGAGGAAGACCCCCGCCTCCCTGCCTCTGCCCGGCACTTGCACAGGGCATGACGCACCTTATTCAGGACCAGGACAATAGGGCGCTTCATGACACCGGACACCCAGTTGTACAGGGAGGGCGGGAAGTGCAAGACCGGATGGCGGATGTCCGCCACGACCAGGATGACATCCGACCGCTCGACAACGCGCCACAACTGACGCCAGACTTCGAGGTTGTGCTCGAAGTAGCCGAGCTCCTCCAATCGACAGCTCTCATAGATCTGCCGCAGCCACTGGTCATAGGCGTCGGACTCGTCCTGCTGCAGCTGGGCCGGGGTCTTGCCGCGCCAGTCCGGCCGGATGGGCAGGTCAAGGGTGCCATCATGCCCGAAGAGGGTCTCCGTGCTGATCTCCAAACTCTGCACCATGAGGGCAAGTTAGTCACGGCCATCGAGTGAGTGCGAGCCCTCCAGGGGGGGCGGGGGCAGGCGAGGGGGGCAGGGCGAAGCGCAAACACACGGTCTTCGGCAAATGGTCATAGGGCTTGCGACTGCGGGCAATGCGCTCTTGGATGACGTCCTCCGGCTCGCGGGCAAACACCGACACAAGACCACTTCAGGATGCGGGGCGGGGGGTGGAGGGGTAAGGATTGGAGAGGGGAAAATGGCCGAAAGCAGAGAGGTATGGCAGGGAGCCGGGGGCCGAAGGGCGCTTCCAGGCATGCGAAGTCGGACGCACTTGCCGATGTCGCGCATGACCGGCTGACGACGCTTGGGAATTACAGGCTTCGGGGCCGCCTCTTCGGCGGCGCGGGCTGCAGCATAAAGAGGCAACAGCACCGGGCACATGGACCCCAGGCCGAGGCCGGGATTCGCCATGCAGGTGCAGTCCATCCCCTGATGGTCAGAAGCCGGCGAGTCGAATGGCGAAGGGCGACGCGGCCGGAAAGAGAACCGGGACAAAGAGCCCGGACGCACCCTTCTTCTCCATGCGCTTTTCTTTCAGCTGCTGCTTCTTCTTCTTCGCGCTGAAGGGCACCCGACGAGACATTTTGGTAGGGAAAGGAAAAAAGAACGCCCAAAGGGACGGGCAACGAGACAGACACACAAATGCAGGCTAAACCGCGCCGGGGGATTCTCGATGCGAGGCTGAGAGGGAGGGCGAGCGGGGAAGGGGGGGAGGGGGCAAAATAATACCAAAAAACACAAGCAGGGGACGACCGTGTTTCGGGAGATGCCTCGGCGAGGGCCTTGCCCGCAACCATACCGGCCCTTCTCTCTCTCTCTCTCTCTCTCTCTCTCTCTCTCTCCGGAGGCACCCTTGTCCGGGTCGCCTCCCTCCTCGGACGCGGATCCAGCGGGCATGACAGACCATTTGCGCCCCGCCGGCGGCGGGCGATCAGCCCCCTCTTCCTGCATGTTCCAGCCCCGTCGAAGAACGCCGCAAGCCCAGATCGACCTTGCTCCCTCACAGACCCCCCCCCCCCCCCCCCCGGACCGCGAGACATGGGCCCCGGAGCGGACGCGCCCCCGGGCCAAGATAGCCAGGTCATGAACATGTCCCCGCACCGCGGCTCCCCCCGCCCCAGGTGGCGGAACTCAACCACCACCGGATGCCGTGCCAATCGAGAGGGGGCCTGCCCGCTTGCCTGCATTCTGCAGGCCGGGCCTCTCGCCCCCAAGGGGGAAGGGGGAGGGGGGTGGCAACAAAAAATACTAGGCACTACCGCGCCCAGGGAGGGACGTGGGAAAGTAGGCTATGGCACGTGCTCCGCTACAGGTCAGGCCCCCGCGGGGAGCGTGACAATGGCTCGCAAGCTGGGCAGAGGGGCTTCGGCGGGTTTCTATTGCGGCACGGATGGCGCCA